CAACCTAAGTGTTTGCATGTGTAAATCTGTCTTACACCCGTTGTATGTGAATGTTGGAATCTATCACACCCGATCATCACGTGGTGCTTCGAAACAACGAACTGTCGCAACGGTGCACAGTTAGGGGGAACACTTTCTTGAAATTTTAATGAGGGATCATCTTATTTACTACCGTCGTTCTAAGAAAACAAGATGCAAAAACATGATAAACATCACATGTAATCAAATAGTGACATGATATGGCCAATATCATATTGCTCCTTTTGATCTCCATCTTCGGGGCTCCATGATCATCATCGTCACCGGCATGACACCATGATCTCCATCATCATGATCTCCATCATCGTGTCTTCATGAAGTTGTCTCGCCAACTATTACTTCTACTAGTATAGCTAACGGTTAGCAATAAAGTAAAGTAATTACATGACGTTTATGTTGACACGCAGGTCATAAATAAATTAAGACAACTCCTATGGCTCCTGCCGGTTGTCATACTCATCGACATGCAAGTCGTGATTCCTATTACAAGAACATGATCAATCTCATACATCACATATATCATTCATCACATCCTTTTGGCCATATCACATCACATAGCATACCCTGCAAAAACAAGTTAGACGTCCTCTAATTGTTGTTTGCATGTTTTACGTGGCTGCTATGGGTTTCTAGCAAGAACGTTTCTTACCTACGCAAAAACCACAACGTGATATGCCAATTGCTATTTACCCTTCATAAGGACCCTTTTCATCGAATCTGATCCGACTAAAGTGGGAGAGACAGACACCCGCTAGCCATCTTATGCAACTAGTGCATGTCAGTCGGTGGAACCAGTCTCACGTAAGAGTACGTGTAAGGTCGGTCCGGGCCGCTTCATCCCACGATGCCGCCGAATCAAGATAAGACTAGTAACGGTAAGCATATTGAACAAAATCAACGCCCACAACTACTTTATGTTCTACTCGTGCATAGAAACTACGCATAGACCTAGCTCATGATGCCACTGTTGGGGAACGTAGCAATAATTCAAAAAATTTCCTACGTGTCATCAAGATCAATCTATGGAGTCATCTAGCAATGAGGGAGGAGTGGATCTACATACTCTTGTAGATCGCGCGTGGAAGCGTTCAAGAGAACGGGGTTGATGGAGTCGTACTCGTCGTGATCCAAATCACCAATGATCCTAGCGCCGAACGGACGGCACCTCCGCGTTCAACACACGTACGGAGCAGCGACGTCTCCTCCTTCTTGATCCAGCAAGGGGGAAGGAGAGGTTGATGGAGATCCAACAGCACGACAGCGTGGTGGTGGAAGTAGCGGGATTCCAACAGGGCTTCGCCAAGCGCTGCGGGAGGAGGGAGATGTGTCATGGGAGGGAGAGGGAGGCGCCAGGGCTTGGGTATGGTTGCCCTCCCTTCCCCCCACTATATATAGGTCCAAGGGAGAGGGGGAGGGTGCAGCCTTGCCCCTTCCTCCAAGGAAGGGTGCGGCCAAGGGGGGGGGAGGAGTCCATCCTCCCCAAGGCACCTCGGAGGTGCCTTCCCCCTTTAGGACTCTCCCTTTCCCTCTTCTCTTGGCGCATGGGCCTCTTGGGGCTGATGCCCTTGGCCCATATAGGCCGAGGCGCACCCCCTACAGCCCATGTGCCCCCCCGGGGCAGGTGGCCCCACCCGGTGGACCCTCGGGACCCTTCCGGTGGTCCCGGTACAATACCGGTGACCCCGAAACTTGTCCCGATGGTCGAAATAGCACTTCCTATATATAAATCTTTACCTCCGGACCATTACGAAACTCCTCGTGACGTCCGGGATCTCATCCGGGACTCCGAACAACTTTCGGGTTACCGCATACTAATATCTCTATAACCCTAGCGTCACCGAACCTTAAGTGTGTAGACCCTACGGGTTCGGGAGACATGCAGACATGACCGAGATGACTCTCCGGTCAATAACCAACAGCGGGATCTGGATACCCATGTTGGCTCCCACATGTTCCACGATGATCTCATCGGATGAACCACGATGTCAAGGACTTAATCAATCCCGTATACAATTCCCTTTGTCTATCGATACGATACTTGCCCGAGATTCGATCGTCGGTATCCTGATACCTTGTTCAATCTCGTTACCGGCAAGTCTCTTTTACTCGTTCCGTAACACATCATCCCGTGATCAACTCCTTGATCACATTGTGCACATTATGATGATGTCCTACCGAGTGGGCCCAGAGATACCTCTCCGTTTACACGGAGTGACAAATCCCAGTCTCGATTCGTGCCAACCCAACAGACACTTTCGGAGATACCCGTAGTGTACCTTTATAGCCACCCAGTTACGTTGTGACGTTTGGCGCACCCAAAGCACTCCTACGGTATCCGGGAGTTGCACAATCTCATGGTCTAAGGAAATGATACTTGACATTAGAAAAGCTTTAGCATACGAACTACATGATCTTTGTGCTAGGCTTAGGATTGGGTCTTTGTCCATCACATCATTCTCCTAATGATGTGATCCCGTTATCAATGACATCCAATGTCCATGGTCAGGAAACCGTAACCATCTATTGATCAACGAGCTAGTCAACTAGAGGCTTACTAGGGACATGGTGTTGTCTATGTATCCACACATGTATCTGAGTTTCCTATCAATACAACTATAGCATGGATAATAAACGATTATCATAAACAAGGAAATATAATAATAATCAATTTATTATTGCCTCTAGGGCATATTTCCAACATCTATTGCCCCAATGCAATCCTAAAATGGCATTACATGATTGTGTTATGGCTATAGCCGAACAATAGAAGCATATCAAGGCATGAACTACATACTGTCAGTGCTCACCTTGAAGTATGGGTACCATCTTCGGCTAGTTCAAATCTTGATAGGAGTCCGGCCGGTTGGTGACACGATCATATCTCCTCTGAGTTTCCCAAGAACATACAACACTTGCCTGAAGTACATGGAGATGGCCTCCATTGATCTCCTTAAGGTGTTGTGCATAACCCTGAATCGGTGGTTATGACCAACAACATGGAGGAACATGGCTACTTGCTCTTCCACACTGGTGTGCATGCTATCTTGTAGCAGCCCCTGCTCCTGAAGGTCTGCACAAGCCTGACAAATGGTGTTCTTTTCATTCGAAGCATCCGCAGAGCCTCTGTGTCGTTGCAGTTGTAGATGTAGTTTAGATTCGCCATCCTCTCCTGATCCCGCATAAACATTGGACCATAACAGATGACACGCCTCTTACCACGATGAACAACTCTCTTGTGCATCAACATGTGCCATGCCTGAATCACAGCTATCAGTGCTGTAGCCTGAAATACCAGCTTCATTCACATGTCCATAACCTAGTCCACATCGATGGTCTGTTGAGCAATGGGGAAATCGATACTACACCTTACCTAACGGCCTAAAAATCGACCTAACATAGGAAGGGGACGGGGTGTTGCTTACCGGCTTCGGAGACGACAACAATGACGAAGGGAAGTAGTAGCTCCTGCTGTCGGAGAGTGCTACTGCCGCGTCTGCCGCTTCCACCAACACCGCTTGCGCAGATCTGAGTCGCCGCTGTCACCGGTGCTAAGAATATAGGATGATCTAGTGGCGACTGAGTAAATGAGGGGGTGAGGCTAGATTTGGCGCTGTCCCGCCGCACCGATTTCCATCTCCCGACATCCCCAATCGATTTCGCCTTGCTCCCTCACGTGGGAGCAACATCCCTTTTGTGCCACACTCAGCCTGGCCCACTGGAAACTGCCGATTTGAGGCTTTCCAACGAGACAGGCTCTGGGCTGCTTTAAGGTTCATGCCAATGCGAGCCAGCCCATCCTGTTTGCAACCAAACGTGTTTTTTGTGCCCAACTCAGCCTGTTGGAGGTAATGCGGGCTACCAAACACGCCCTTAGCAGTGTCTTTTTTGACTCGGTGAAAGTGGCAATTCTTTTTGTTAACACGGTGCAAACGCAAGCGCTTATACACACACACACACACACACACACGCGCGCGCGCGCATATATTCACCTCTATGAACGTACGCACGTATACCCTTCCCTATGAGCACCTCCAAGGGACCGAGCCGGTAAATCTTCTTGAGATTTTACGAAGTCACCGTAGACGCCTCGTAGTCGACGGAAACGTCTCGTTCCACTGAAGGCGCATCGCCGGAAATCCTGAAATAAATCAGGATAAATGCAAAAATGAAGACTTGAACCTTGATGGATCAGGGATATTACTTTCCACCTAACCATCCAATCACATATTGGTTTGCAAAAGTTGCTATTTTTTTTTGCACGTTTCATCACAAATTCAGTTCCTGGTTGTGACATGCACTTTTTTTAAAAAACATTTTGTCACATACACTTGACAAGATCAATGGAGACTTGGAGAGCAACCCTTTTCTACTGCTCACCGGCATCCTTTGCTGCGCTCTTGTGTACATAGTAGTAGGACAGCCATCCCCGAAATTTCTATGAACTATCGATGAAATGATACGCTTCTAACACTATCTTGACGAAAAAAATAATGAATGAATTTGTCTGATCGGTCAACGTTGCGTGCTGAAGCAAAAATCTGCACCGGTGATGTGAGCGTCGAGGGCCGGCAACGAGGCCGACCTCCACCCGTCACAAGGAGGCACCCTGCGCGCCGGATGCTGCACGCCCCCGCCCCCCTTCTCGGCCCTCGGCGACGCCGGCGCGCTCCGGGGATCGTCGGACCGCGCCCCGGCATTGTGGAGCAGGTGCACCGGCGACGAGCCTTGACTCATCTGCGCCCTCAGCATGTCCGCGTCCCGGGCCTTCTTCTTCTCCACCTTTCGCCAGTTGGTGAGCGCCTTGGCCGTCTGCTCGTTGAAGACGCTTCTCTTCATGTGTGAGCCCATCTGCGTGACGAGCGCGTAGAGCGGGAAGGTGATGTAGCTGCACATGATCTGGGCGGCCACCCCCAGCACCACCTTGGCGATGCTCACTCCCATTTTCTGATGGTAGCATTTCTTCAAGTCAGGCGTGGCCTGCTGTACATACAACAGAACTCTGTCAGTGCAGTTCATCAGCAGCACTTGGTGCCTTGCATCCATGACTGAAGTGGCAAGTATACGTACGTACCACTGTCCACACGAAATGTGCCATCTGAAACGCGTTCTGGAAGAGTGTGAGGTGTATGAGGAAAAGGACCCAGTCGGGGCGGTCGAACCAGAAGTACTTGTTGCTGGGCTCGACGGCGGGAGCCCCCTTGACGACGCTCTCCCGGTCCTGGATCTCCTGGGCCATCTCCATATGATCACCATCTCCAGCTTGGTCCCGACCCACAACAGGATCTGGTGATGTTACACACGACACAAGACAGCAAATGACATGTTAATTAAGTTTGGAGTTGCATCTCAGTTGCCCGGGTGGCTATTCCATTGGAGGAAGAAATTCTAGGAGTACATACCACGAGAGGAACCACAGACATCCAGATAAGAGTGCCGATCCCTGCGAGAAGATGACGGTGGTGGTTACGAGACAAATTCACAAATTATGGAGAGAAACCGAGGAGAAAGCGAGCAGGACAGGATGAAAGCCGGTACCGTGGAAATCAAGGAAGAGTATGAGGACCGCCACGAACCAGAGCTTGAGACTGCGACAAGAGGGCAAATGTGTCAAGAACTCAAGATCAGTATGAGACGTAGCGGCAATTGTATATCAATTTTTTGTGCAAAGGACTCACTCATATTGTAGTTGTAGCAATCATGAGATGAGATACGTGCGTTAGCGAAGAGAAAGGAATACCTGATGCCGACGACGACCTTGAAGTCGTCCTCCAGCGACCTCTTGATGTACTTGTGGAAGTCGAACCTGCTCTTCTGCGAGAGATGCGCGTTGATGAAGCCCTGGCGCAGCGTCAGGTAGTCCACCTTGGTGACCGACCCGAAGAACTGCCTGAAGAAGGCCACCACCCATCTGACGCCGGGGGTGCTGGACAGGCCCAGGTGCCGCCTCACGAACGTCGTCTGGTGCGTGAACCGGCACCGCGAGGGATCTGAGAGGGATTCAATCGGTTCAACAACATATCAGCTCACTGCGACGATCGTGTACGTTTCAGTAAGAAAATGCAGAGTAGATAGATCCTGACCATTGGCGAACTGATACTCCAGCGAGGCGGTCTCCGACTCCCACTTCTTCCATTGCTTCATCTGCAGAGCAGACTAGGATCAGTGCCAGCTTTGCAGTGGAAACCAAGGATTACGTACAATACCCCACTTCTTCTTCTGAGGATGTGGGAGAGGTGATCCCTACACCTCCCCTTGTATCTGAAGAAGTTAAGAGATTTAGCCTGTGGAACTTGCAGAATATGGAAGGAAGAATGCAAGAGAAGGCTGTGGCCATTTTCAAAAAGAGAAATCTGGAAGGTAATTTAGCAAATCATAACTCTTTTGATGCTTTATCTAATCCTGAGCTCATGATTCATGCTGTTAAAATGGGGGTAGTTTTTCCTGACAATAATTTCTCTAATGTGGATATCATTAGAGAACTTGAAATAATAAGGGGGGAAAACTCTAAAAAAGAGGAGGAAAAGAAAAATATGAGGAATGAAGAAGAGGTGATGTATATCACCAATGGAAAAGGGGAAACAACTCCTCTTAGTACTGAATGGGGAAATGGAGATGAGGACATGGAAGAAAAATTTACCATGGTCCGGTCTAGGAAAAAGAAAAGTCCTAAAGTTCAAATAGCTGTATTCAGACCCACTACTAGAAGTCAAAAAAATCTTGTTGAGAAAAAACAAGCTGGCAGCCCTGTTCATAATACCAGGGCCACCAGAGGGGAGAAAAGGGAAAAGACATAAATGATAGGTCAATTTTGGAATTGCAGGGGGCAGGAAAAAAAGAGATGAAAACCTGCCTATCCCATATATTAGAGACCATTTCCTTGATTTTATTTGTTTGCAAGAAACTTTAAAGAAGAATTTCTTGGAGAGTTATTTCAGGAAACTTGACCCTTATAGTTTGTTTGAGTGGGACCGTATCCCCTCAATTGGTAAGGCTGGGGGTATACTATGTGGTGTTCAAAAAGAAAAATTTGAAGTAGTTGCTTGGAGGAAAGACAGATTTATTCTGCAGGTATCTCTTTATGATATCATTATGAAAAAAATTTGGACATTTTGTACAGTGTATGAAGCGGCTCATGAGTGTGACAAGAGTGATTTCCTTAGCGAACTGGAGGATTTTTGCTGCCACATTCAAACCCCCCTGTTGATTGGAGGTGACTTCAATATTCTTAGGCATAGTGGGGAGAAAAATAAAAGATGGCACCGTTCGGTGCACTCTGATCTGTTTAATTCAATCATCAACACTATGTGTTTGAATGAGATTCATATGAGTGGAGGAGCCTACACTTGGTCTAATAATCAAGCGCATCCCACCTTGGAAAAACTGGATCGTGTGCTTATGAGCAACGATTGGGAAGACATGTTTCCTCTTGTTAACATGAAAAAGCTCATTAGGGAGGTCTCTGACCACAATGCTCTCCTTTTGTACTTTGATAATCATGTTATTAGAGCTCCACAAAAGAGAGAGTTTAGATTTGAGCTGAGTTGGTTAAAATCTGAGGAGTTTGTTCCTCTAGTTAACAAGATTTGGAACCAAAAAGTGAATGCTACCGATCCTATTGATATCTTGAATATCAAACTGAAAAGACTTAAGAAATTTTTCAAAGGCCGGGGATCAAACAAGTTTGGTCATGAGAAGAAAAGGAAGCAGGAGATTAGAGACGAACTTGCTTTTATTGAAAAACTAGAAGAGGATGGTAATATTGACCATGAAATATTTGGTAGGAAAACTGATCTCCTAGTGGAGCTGAATGAAATCCTTATTAATGAGGAGCTTTTTTTGTTTCAACAGTCTAAAGAGAGATGGTTGCTTGGGAGGGACCGAAACACGGATTATTATCAAAAAATAGCCAATGGGAATAAACGAAAAAATACTATTCATTCTTTTAATGTTGGGGATGCGGTGATTGAAGGGACTGAGAAGCTCCTGGAGCATGCTACTGACTTTTATAAAAGTCTTTTTGGGCCAGCCCAGGGGAACATGTTTCATCTTGACCCTGATATTTGGGGAGAAGAAGAGAAGCTCTATGAGCTAGATAATGAGATCCTTAACAGGCCGTTCACGGAAGAGGAAGTGAGAAAAGCCTTGTTTTCCATGAAAAGCAATAGGGCTCCGGGCCCGGATAATATACCTGCTGAATTCTACCAGCATTGTTGGGATATAGTTAAAGAGGACATTATGAAGCTGTTCACTGTCTCTCATGCAGGAGAGCTCGACGTTAGTAGATTGAACTATGGTATCATAACTTTGTTACCAAAAATCAATGGGGCTAACAAAATCCAGCAGTTTAGACCCATCTGTTTGTTGAGATGTCCTTACAAATTGATCACTAAGGTGCTCGATAACAGAGTGGTACCTTTTGCTGACAAGTTATTCAGTAGACATCAGAATGCATTTATTAAGCATAGAAATATCATGGATGGGGTACTGTCTTTGCATGAGATTTTACATCACACTTCCATAAAAAAGAGTAGGCATCGTTCTTAAGCTTGATTTCGAGAAAGCATATGACAAGGTGAATTGGGACTTTCTGTTGGAATGTCTCGAGATGAGAGGGTTCGGTACCACTTGGTGTAAGTGGATCAAAAGTGTCCTGACTGGTGGCACTGTCAGTGTTAAGTTGAATAATGTTATGGGGCCTTATTTCAAAAGTTTTAAGGGGGTCAGACAAGGAGATCCTGTGTCGCCATTCCTCTTCAACATAGCAGTCGAGTGCTTGTTTAAGATGGTGTTATCAGCACAAAAAAACAATCTAATTGTTGGGCTGGCGCCAGATCTTATTGAAAATGGTGTGGCCATTCTGCAATATGCAGATGATACGGTCTTATGTATTGATCATGACCTAGATAAGGCTGTGAATATGAAATTGTTACTATACATCTTTGAGCTCATGTCTGGGCTCAAGATCAA